TGTTAACAAAAACAAGAAAAAAAAAAGTTAAATCATCAAATGCCCTTTTATGCCAACAATTTTAACTTGTAAAATTTTGTCTGGTTGGAAAGGATTGAAAAAAAGGACAGTCACAAAAATGGCAGCATAAGACATCACCCAATTTCCAATTCTTGCTTGTCAAAGTCCAAACATTTGAACTGAATCACTTAAGACGTGACTCTCATTTAATCACCCTGTCATCATTTTTGGAACATAAAATATCTTTCATGTTCTCATAAAGGCCACTTATGGAAAAGCCTATTTTATTATATTTAGGAAGCCTTAAAAATAAGGCATAACTTTGTAAGAATGAGCACAATACAGAAACATCAGCTTTCCCTCCCCTCCCCTCCCTTCTGAGCTGTTTCATTGCACAAGGATTCACACGATGAATTAGTTTTTAAATAGTCAACATCAGACATGTCTCAGACAATAGTTTTTGCTGTTGGTTTTGGGTGGGGTTTTTTGTTGTTGGTGGGTGGTTGGTTGGTTTTAATTTTTATACATTATTTCTGAAAAGAAAACTTACATTTACAAATCTCTAGCATAAAAACACTGATCAGATCTAATAGCTCCATCATTCATTTCTTCTTTAGAATACGTTCAAAGAGCCAGTGCTTTTTCTATATAATTTTTCGCATTCTAGATGAATGTATGATTAAAGCCGTTGGATTTTTTGTTTGCTTCATAGAATCATAGAATATCTTGAGTTGGAAGGGACCCACAAGGATCATCGAAGTCCAACTCCTGGCCCTGCACAGGACAGTCCCAAGAATCCCACCCTGTTCCTGAGAGCATTATCCAAACACTTCTTGAGATCTGTCAGGCTTGGTGCTGTGACCACTTCCCTGGGGAGCCTGTTCCAGTGCCCAACCACCCTCTGGGTGAAGAACCTTTTCCTAATATCCAACCTAAACCTCCCCTGATACAACTTCAGGCCATTCCCTCGGGTCCTGTTACTGGTCACCAGAGAGAATAGATCAGTATCAGTGCCTGCCCCTCCACTTGGACACTTCTCCAGGCTGAACAAACCAAGTGACCTCAGACACTCCTCATACAGCTTCCCCTCTAGACCTTTCACTATCTTTGCAGCCCTCCTTTGGATGCTCTCTAATAGATTTATATCCTTCTTATATTGCGGCACCCAAAACTGCCCCCAGGACCCAAGGTGAGACCACACCAGTGCAGAGCAGAGCGGGACAAGCACCTCCCTTGACTGGCTGGCGATGCAGTGCCTGATGCACCCCAGGACATGGTTGGCCCTCCTGGCTGCCAGGGCACTGCTGACTCATATTTAACTTGGGATTGACCAGGACCCCCAGTTCCCTTTCTGCAGAGCTGCTCTCCAGCCTCTTGTTCCCCAGTCTGTCCATACATCCAGGGTTGCCCCATCCCAGGTGCAGAATCTGGCACTTGCCTTTGTTGAACTTCATACGGTTGGTGATTGCCCAGCCCTCTCATTTGTCAAGGTCTCTCTGCAGGGCCTCTGCCTCTGAGGGAGTCAACAGCTCTTCCCATTTTATTATCGTCAGCAAACTTAGTATAACTTCGAGTCCTGCATCCAAGTCATTTATGAAGATGTTGAAGAGAACTGGCCCTAAAATGGAAATTTTTTGTTATAAATTGTTTTAAAGCTCTCAGGACTAGCCCAGGAGCAATCAGAGCAATTCTCAGCAAACTAATTTGAGTATGGTTGGTAACACTGATACTCTGGCTCAGTTTTATAATAGTTTTAGTCTACCAACCTCCAAACCAAGATGATAAGGCCAATGGAGCAATATTTGGGTCACTTAAACAAGCTTCAGGTCAACAGAACCTGGTTCTCATGGATGACTTCAACTGCCCAGACATTTGTTGGAAGAACAATACAGAAGCTCATATATCAGCCATCAAGTTCCTGGAATACGTAGAGGACTGCTTCCTCCTACAAACATTAGATGTGCCAAACTGAAATGAGCCACTGCTGGACTTGCTTCTCACAAACCAAGAAAATCTGCTTTGCAATATCTGTTAGTGATAACCTTGGCTGCAGTGATCACAATATTGTGGAATTGGAGAGCCAGCTGAGCACGCTAAAGAATAGTATTAAGACAAAGGTTTTAGATTTTGGAAGAGCAAACTTCAGCTTGCTCAGAGCTCAGTTGGGAGGGATTCCATGGGAAGCTTCCACAGAGGATAAAGGTGCTAGTGAGGGCTGAGAGTTTTTCCAAGAATGCTTTCCTGGAAGCACAAAAGCAATTCATCACCTTTAAAGGTAAAAGAAATAGGCAGAGCAAGAGACCCCCTGACTTAACCGCAAGCTTCTGAGTCTGCTCAAAACCAAGAGACACATACCAGAGATGGAAAAGCAGACAAATAGCTATTGAATACTACAAAGGCACTTCCAGGGCATGTAGAGAAGCAGTTAGAAAAGCAAAAGTTCAGCCCAAATTGAAATTGTCCAGAGATGTCAAAAATCCGAAGAAAGGGTTCTTTGTGTATGTAAACAGTAAGAAACAGAAGGAAAATATGGACCTGATGCTAAACAGGAGAGATTAATTAGTCACCAACAATGCTGAAAAGGCTAGAGGTTCTCAACACTTTCTTTCTTCTCCTCTGTCCTCTTCACCCAGCACTGTTGGGCCCCAGGCCTTGGGAACAAAAATCCAGGTTGATGCAAACGCAGACCTACTGTCAATGAAGAAAGAGTTGGCATGTGAACTGTTACAGGAGCTTGACCCCAACAAATCAATGGACCCTAACACTGTCCACCCAAGAGTGTTAAGAGAGTTGGCTGACATCATTGCAAGGCTGCTTGCTCTCCATAACCTTTGAGAACTCACAGAGATCGGGGGACTGCCAAGGAGATTGGAAGAAGGCTAATATCATCCCCATCTACAAAAAAGGATTAAAAGAGGATCACGGAGATTATAGGTCCATCAGTCTTATTCAGTCTCTGGGAAAGTTATTGAACAAATCTTCCTTGGAGCTATCAGAAGTCAAATGAAGCATGGGATTGGGAAAAGCCAGCATGAACTCACCAAGGGCAAATTATGCTTAACAAACCTGATCACCTTCTGTGACTAAATAACTGGCTTGGTTATGTGGGGCAAGCAGTGGACACTGTCTACATGGATTTCTCCAAGGCTTTCAATGCTGTTTCCCACAGCCTCCTCCTACAGAGATTAATGTGTTATGGTCTAGACAAGTGGTCTGTGCAGTGGGTGGGGAACTGGCTGACAGGCCACACCTAGAAGGTGATGGTAAATAGCTCCTTTTCAAACTGGAAATCTGTCACAAGTGGGGTCCCCCAGGGATCGATATTGGGCCCCAATGCTGTTTAATATCTTCATAAGTAATCTGGATGATGGAATCAAGTGTACCCCAATGAAGTGTGCTGATGATACCAAGCTGAGTGGGGAAGCGGACACTTTGGAAGAAAGATCCACCCTGCAGGAAGACCTGGATAGGTTGGAAGAGTGGGCTAACAAGAACCTTGTGAAGTTCAACAAAGGCAAACATCTTGCACCTGGAAAACATCATCCAGGAATGCAGCATAGGCTGGGATCTATCCTGATGGGGAGATGTTCTGTGGAAAGAGCCCTAGGGATCCTGGTGGACAACAAGCCGAATACGAGTGAACAGTGAGCTGCTATGGCAGAGAGCCAACAGGATGCTGGGTTGCACCAACAAGGGCACCACCGGCAGAGATAAAGAAATTCTCCCACTCTACTCAGTGCCTTGTCAGGCCACACTTGGAATGCTGTGTTCACTTTTGGTCCCTGATATACAAAAGAAGATGTGGGCAAGCTGGAGAGGGTCCAGAGAAGGGCCACAAAGATGATTCAAGGACTGGGAAGGTGCCATGTGAAGGAAGGCTGAGAGAACTGAGTTTGTTCAGCCTTGAGAAAAGAAGGTTAAGGGGAGACCTTATCACCATGTTCCAGTATTTAAAGGGTGGCTACAAAGAAGATGGAGACTTCCTTTTTACAAGGAGTCACATGGAAAAGACAAGGGGTAATAGGTACAAGTTACTCCTCAGGAGATTCCAATTGGACACGAGACAACAATTTTTCACAATGAGAACAATTAGCCATTGGAATAATCTCCCCAGGGAAGTGGAAGATTCCCCAACATTGGACACTTTTTAGGTGTACTAGGGCATCTTGCCTAGACCATGCTTTTGCCAAGAAAGGTTGGACCTTGAGCTCCCTTCCAATCTGGTGTTCTATGATTCTGTGACAGAGTATCATAAACCCTGAAGATAATACCAAATGGGCAAACTGAGCTGCTGCTTAGTTGCCGTAGTTCAATTTTTTCTTGCAATCTGAAATACACTTTCTACTGGATACTCATTTTATATATAATTTTTGATGATTAGGGAACTACATATTATTTAAATAAAACCAAACACAAACCAACCAACAAACCTTCTCCTTCCCATCCCTAATAGTTAAGATTATCGCTGCCCATGAACCCTGGACAGCATATGATTAGCCCCTTTTCACACTTTCTTTTCACACTTTGCTAGTGTCTGCTGGTGCTGCTTTCACTTTGTAAGTTTTGTGCATGTCCCTGTTCAAAATCCCCCTCAAAGAACAAAACCAAAACACAAATATAAATAACAGTGTAACATAAAACAAATAGCATTCTAACAGTTTGGCAAGTGATGAATTCACCTGAGATTTAGTGATCTTTAGGCAGTCTGTAACAAAACATTGCTTTGCAATAAAAGCACAAAGGCAACAAATTATTTTAAGAAATCAAGAAGGTATACAATCTTGATTACGTCTCATTAGTTTCCTTCTGTTCTCTCTTCCCCCACCTATCTGTTGCTTTTCTACTACAGTTGGCTGCAAAACATACAGCAAGGATTGACTTTGAAGGCATGTAATGCTTGTAAATAAATCCACAATAGGATCCAAGCTGAAGAGGTGATACAGGATCAGCCTACTAGGACAATTCTGAGCATGTGCATATGCAGGCAAAGTCTGGGGGGGTTTATTTTTTTTTTTTTTTTTTTTTTTTTTTTTTTTTTTCTTGTAAGGCTGTCTTTTGTTCCTTGTTGTGCAGATCACAAACAATTGGGGAGGGGTTGGTAACAACAGTCCATCACAAATGAGAATAAGTTGTAATGACACTTAACTGTATAACACAAGTAATGAGCATGTGCAAATTTTCATAGAATCATAGAAAGCAGCCATTCCTCTCTTACAACATTATAACATGGTCTGAGTGTTTTGAAACACCTGACTGCACACTAATAAGGCTGTTCCTAGTATGTGCCACTATTTAATGGAGGGGGACGCAGGTTTTCAAGCATGTGGAGCAGTCCTATGATGTCCTGTAGGTGTCAAAGCATGATCACAGGTTCTTTTCATTTATTCACCATACAGGCAAGAGCAATACCATTTCCTTTAAAAGCAAGTCTCCACTATGACACTTTGATCTCCAACACAGAAGGTGTGATTCAAAACCCAAGTCAAGTCAGCTTTTTATGGATTCCTTCAATGAGAGGGGCAAGACGGTATCTCATCTGTGGGCTGATCTGGGTTTGGATCAATCTAACCAAAAGAAAAAGAAAAAACCCCAAAACAACAACAACAAAAAAAAAAACCCAAAAAACCAAAAAAAACCCCAAACAATTGAGCAAATAAACCCAGAAAAAAAAAAAAAAAAAAAAAAAAAAAAAAAAAAAAAAAAAAAGCCACCACAACTCAGTGGATTTCAGCATCAATTGTTAGGAATAAAAATCAAAATTCACAAGTTTAAGACAATTATAATGATATGTGGCATTTACAGTCCAGGTGTCATTGAAATAACTGAAAAAGTTCTAGTTAGACAAAACTTTGGATAAACAGTAATAGAAATATTAGGTCCAGTGGAAGATTTTATACTGCAGGTTGATGGCAATTTAAGGATAAGCATGAATAACTGCTATAAAAATTTTTTTCTCCTTTACTTACACAGAAGTCTTTTGAATTATCTGATATATACAAAAAAGATGACTTGACACATATCGCTGGAAACATAATTTAAGAAATATTTACTTGAGAAAAGCGAAGAAGTTTTTCTTGAAATGGCAGAAATTTATCAATAAAAAAATCAGTCTACTTTTAAATTAAAGTAGTTAATACTCAAATATCCTATGGGTTGTTTCAAAAAGTTCATGTGTTCTAAACTTTACCTCTTCTTCCTCTCTACAGGAGAAATAAAGGGCACAAGCCTGCTAACTTAGGTCTCAAAAAATAGATGTAAGAATAGTTTACACGTAAATTGCATCTTTTAGACATTGAATCAGTTAACGTCATACAGCCCTTTGTTTTTGCATTTCAAGCCGGGGGGGGGGGGGGGGGGGGGGGGGGGGGGGGGGGGGGGGGGATGTCGTGCTACATAATGCTATTTTCCTAAAGTGGATCAATTCAGACAAAATTTGGCCAGAGGACACTTTTTTTTTTTCATTTGTCCTATATCATTTATTTTTCTTGAAAAAGAAAAAAAGCAACACGAAAAGCTTTGAAATTTGCATCTCATTCATGGTTATTCGGTGGCTGCATTTTTAGTTCTGTGAAGTACAAAAATGTTGAATAACTGTGTACTTCAGAAAACTTAAGTCATAAATTAATACCAACACATCACTTTTCTACATGAAACTTCTGAAAGGCCTACGTTCACAGAATTTAAACACACATGCAGGCAAAACAGATTAGTGGTTGCTATAAAATGTTAGGAAGCGGCAGAGGTGAAAGAGTTGAAACCTTATTTTTAATACACAAATTTTTAAAAATTATGTTTCTAAAATGGCAAACAACACTTTGAAAATTTCCAGAAAGTATTAGACTAGGGAAGAGTGCTGCCAAGAGGAATTATCTCCCCGGTTGGCAGCTCCAGGACATAGCATGATGGAGAAGCCAAGGCACCTCATGGAGCACCTTTTAAATTTAAGGTTGCAGAGTTCACGTAAAAAATAAAATTTAAAAAATTATAAAAAGGGTAACCCATGCTGTAAAATAGGCATGGAAAACTCATGATGCAATTCATCTGCATCTTGCAAACAAACAAAAATCCTCCTCAAAACCAGCTTATTCCATGTTCATCATTTTAATGGTTTCTTCCAATTTTAGGAAGGAGAAACAGGTTTCTAAATTTATTCCATCAGACAAAAAAAAAAAAATCAGCCACACACAATATATAAATCATCATAGTCTGACAGATATACCTACTTCTGAATATAGGGGAGGAGGCAGAAAACGAAACTCCTGGATGTATGCAAATAATGGTCCTTGCAGTGCTCTCTGAAAATCATCAAAACCAGCTACAGGTGCAAGGCCAGACTGTCTGTTTTCCTCTGTGACCACTTCTGCATAGCTAGGAGGTGCTGGAGGGAGAAGGTACATACAGTTCAAACAACAAGTTCTTATGCATGACAAAATATACAACATGATAAATATTAAACTTCAACCACTGAAAGATTCACCAGCAGATAATTACTTAAAAATTGTTAAACAAAAAAGGGAGACTATTTTGTTTTATTCTGATATTAAGCTTATGTTCAAAGACAGACTGACCACTGTCTATTGTGGCTGAATTATCCCCTTAAAATTTAAATCAAACCAAAGATAATTTATTCTCTGTACAGGTAGAAATGACAGAGCACTGCAGTCCTCTGTACTCCAGAAGTCTCCAGGTCTGGGATTTGTACTTAAAAAAAGCAAGATATTAGATATGCAAAAAGAGAAGGAAGGAAATACATAATTCTTTCTTTGGCCATGAGAAATCTCCCATAGAAAAGAATATTATCTTTTCACAAAGCCTTGGCTACTAAGGCTGATGAGAAAGCCCAGAAACTGCTATTATGCGTTGCAATGCCTTATAACCAAGGATGCAATTGGGATACTGGAAGTGGAAGCAATGAAGTTATGCGCAGATACAGTGGTATCCTGTGCTTTTATTTGTGCCACTTTCCAAAGAAGCTAGATTTCACTGCCTGTCCTAGAGACAGAAAGGCAGGGAGGGAAAAAAAAAATCTCTTGCTCTACACAGAACAAGCAGGTGGCAAGAAAACATCCACAACGGATTTCCTGTGGGCTTTATTATAAAAGCATGTAATTTGACTCTGTTAACAAGACTGCAATGAATAAAGCAGACAAAAATCAGGAGAGTAGCAAATTGATTGGGATTTGTATTATCATGCTACCTTCTAGTCTTTCAGGCAGAGTCAGACCAAGCCAGTTCATGTTCATGCTACCCTGGCTGCTTACGCTTGATGTTCTGCTACCAAATGGATGTAGAGGGATGGTACCAATGACTAGTGGCAAGTTAAGGAACAAATCCACAGCTCCTGGAATATCAACATATACCTGAAGAAAAATGAAACAAGTATATGATTAAAATGTGGGGTTTTATCAGCATTTCGTAAGTATTAGTCTAAGTTATCTTTGTATGAAAGTTTTCATGAGGAGCTTGTTTCTAATAGCCCCTATTAGGGTCCATGCCCCTATGGAGACGAGCTCTTCAAGTTAAGAAGAGTCTTAACATGAGTCCTCACATGGAAATGCAGTCTACTCATTAAATGCTTGCTTAGTTGACAGACAGCTGCTTTGAGAACTTGCATGATTTGAACTAAATTTACTTACCAGACCACCAGACCTCCCGTCATGACACTAATACCAGAACATGTATTTCTTTCATAACTAATCATCACAAAATGCTGTGCTAGAAATTTGTATGGCATGTTGGAAGCTACTCATTCTCGCAAGTGAGACTGCCCAACATACCATCAGTGAATACTCCACACGGATTATACTACAGTCAAGGATTGAAGGGGAAACAGGTGGAATTTTCAGCTGTTTGCCATTCCAGGTTTCTGTTTTGCCAGATGACAAGGATTCCCCACGGAGGTTGGCAACAAGCTGTCTGACTTCCTTCATTTTCCCTTTGGCATAGAATGCCTGCGTTTGGTAAATGGTTGCCTTTGGCACTACCATCCGGGAAGAGCAATTCTCAATCTCAGCAAAGATCTGAATTGATTCACCTGAAACAAAAAGGAAACAAAAAAACAAACAAAAAAAATTTACAAAACACACCATAATTTCAATTTCTCTTTACATTTACAAGGCAGCTTAAGCAAACTTTCACATTCTTTATACTGTTATAACAATGCTGCTATCACTGCTCTACCTGAAAAAAAACCATCCACTGATGCTAATAGAAACAAGATCCCCATGAGCTGTTCTAAAAGGAAAAAGAAAACAACACATTAAAAAAAAACAAAAACAGTCTAACACCCAAAACCTGCCAGTCTAACAGATGAGGTCATTGAACCATCTAGAGATAAAAGTAGCGCTGTCTTAGTTAACAGGGTATGCAGAGAATATTGCTAAATGCAGACTGATGTGGTACAAATATCCTTAATGTTTCATTTATGTAAAAACAGTAGTACAGACTCCAACTTTAAAAAGTAAGGAAAACCACACAGAATTGATTATAGGATCACATACCTGGGGTGTAGCCCTTTCTTTCAATTTTGGCACTTAAAGATATTGGGCCTGAGGTACAAAGCCAACAACACAGAGTCTTTTCTTTTGTGCCTGCTTGGGGTGACTGCAAGAAGAAGAAAAGTACTGTCCATCAAATTCGGAGCTCCATGAATCTCATCGGGTCTTTAAACCAACACAGGAAAATAATAATTTTCATAATGTGCTTATTATTGCATATTTTGATAAACAAAGCTGCTTTCATAGGAAAAGTCTCAAGGAGTTTAAACAACATTATACAGATACAATGTTTGTCCTAATTCCATTGGTGTATTCGTATTGCTTTTTCTGTGATCCTCCATACTACAGCCACAATTAAAACAATACTAAAAGAAAATACTGTATAGGTTAAAACAAAAGGCTTCATAGCCTACACATCCCAACATAATGCTGCAGAGCTTTTAATTTAACTAACAGCAAATTGGAACATATTCACACTTTCCATTATGCTGCATTTCCAAAGCAAAATAACTAAGCTAAACTACTGTAATCTTTACTCCTGCTATTTCCTCACTTTCTGAATAATCCTGTTTCATCTACGTTAAAAATACTTATTTTACACAACACCAGGATTTAGGGCTTGAACCAAAGCCCACTAAAGTCAAATGAGATCTTCGATTTTCATGGAGTTTTTACAAGGTCCCTTTGCAAGCTGATTTTTCACCCATACACACAAGAAATCTGTTTCAATAGTCTTCTGATTTTCTTTCCCCTCTAGATTAAAATTTGAGAAGGGGATAAAAAAAAAGTATTTGTAGGCCAGACTGAAATCAAATCCACACTGAGAGCAGTTGTGATATTAAAATTATTGTAATAAAATGATATTTCAGAAAAGGATTATACAGAATTGCAATAATTTCCTCCCCATCAGTAGAAAACGATCCATATGGAAATTACCAATTATGCACTGCAGTAAATTTTTTACTTTGCATTTTTAAGTTAGCAGTCCCTTACTAAAATATTAAGTATTGCATTGCTCCATCATAGATTATTCTTTATTTATAATTTAAGAGGACCAGTTCACCAAATTTTCTTCCTTAATGAGAGCCTACAATGTTATGAGTAAAAAGTTATCTATTTTTTTAAGGTTGCAGAGTTAAAACAAGTTAAACCAGTTGCTGTGAAGTTAGCTTCACATTGCAGCCACCTGTTGTTGAGAGTTCT